TATATATATATATATATATATATATATATATATATATATAGGACTGACTCTGAAAGAGCTGTCTAGCCAATGTTCACCCGGTGTTGCACACAAGGTTGTTGTGACGAAAATACACTGGGTATATGAATGAACTGACAAAAGATTACCAGATACGCATGCCTGACTAGCGGCACGAACCGCGAAACCGGTTTTGCTTTCAGGGAAATTTTGTCCAGTCATTCACATACTACTTACTATCTATTATATTATATTATTGCACAAGCATGGTGCCGACGAGACAATAACAGTAGTAATAGAGAGCATTTAGGTACAAATGAGTGGAAATGGTTTTTCTTGATCGAAAACCGGATCTCATAGCCACTGAATTTGCATTCAAACACTTGAACCAGGATCACCAACCAAAGACGGTTATGCACATTGCATTACTGCCAACGTTAGAGAATCCGTTGGAGGAAACAAAACATATTCTCCTTCCTCATCCTCCTCGGTTTTGGAGCAGTAAAGTCACCAAAACAATCAGGTTAAATGAAGCATGCGATGAACCGAAATGACTATCCCCGGGGGGGGGGGGAAGGAATTGGCTTAAATTTACTAAATAACTTCGGACAACAAAGTTGTACCTGTCTCAAAGTGAAACGTAGAGAAAAGAATCCGATTAACATACACAATGAAAAGCTGCAGCTCCAAAGTGCAACTTACCGCACACAGCGGGTGCAATGGATACAACGTGTCATGACGGTTTTGATAAGTGGGCCTAAATTTTTGTCCTCCACAGCTCTAAAGTGCAAAGAAACGAGAGAGAGAGAGAGAGAGAGAGGGTATCAGCTAAACTGATTTATAACAAAACGGATGTGTCAATAAACCAAAACGGATGCTACGAACAACTGAAGCAAAGGAAAAGATTGCTGGTATTAGAGTGCTCTCTGAGCTGAGAGAAAAAACAAAACAAACCAGCCCTATCGGATCAGGACCCATGGGGAGAATCAATGCGGTCAATAGAGCAGATAAACACCTCGAAAGCCTCAGCATGGTCGTGGGTGGATAATCCAATTCAACTGGTCACCCATTCATCTTATGAAATGCTTCCCCTCAAATAGATTCCGCAGATAAAGCCCTATTCACTACCTTCACGTGGCGGTGTTTTCACCGATAAAGTGAGAAGACAAAAAGCCAACATTTGGGGCAACAGTCCGGTGTACCTCTGGTAGACCACTTAGGGGAGTTAGCCGAAAACTATAATTCCAAACCAATGAAGAGACTTAGTAACCACATCATCTTCTGGGTTGCGGCAGTAGTCACCAGCTTCTTTGGACACCTTAGACATTTGGCCTCGTACTAAGGATGCATGATCTGATGAAGTGGACACCGGTTCCCAATAAATTGCGATTTTCAAACACTGCTCAGTTGCCTCGAGAATTAGGCTTCAGTTATCCGAAGGCTCGGGCTGCGAACTTCCCTAGAAAAATTCATCTGTTTTAGCTTGGCAGCATTGTACCCATCAGTAAATCATAGACCTTGTTATTTGTTATAAGGATCACTGCACCGTGATGTTTGGTACACAGTCTGGACACATGCGTGTTAAATGTCAATATACCTCTGGATCAAAATGTTATATTTTGGGTGAGTCCACTCAATTATCACAGAGACNATACATGGTTCTAGTGCCTTCTTTTGCCTTTTTTACGTACCTATCACCTGTTGGAGGGTGGACCGGCTCCATGGGTATCAACCATAGAGATAAGTGGGAGCACGATACAAAATGGCGTCCACGATCACCAATTGTAGCTATTTCACTACTTGGTCATCAGAAAATGAGCTGATGTTTGAGTTTTGCACAAGAAAGTACACTGTACCACAGCAGAATTATCCCCGACGGGACGGTTTTTCCATTACTTGAATGCATTTTCCGACGCTTCCAGAAAGCATTCGCAATTACCGAATGGTGTTAGGAGTGTATCGAAAATTTGATGGTAAAACTTATCTTGAGAAAGGTTTTCCACGGTAATCGAAAGGTCCGCAAATGCAATTCTCTACCGACATCGCTGTGTTATTACCATCATAACATTCACACTCACAGCTTGTTGAGAGAAGTGATTTAGGATAGGATTAAGTGACGCAGTGTTGGTACACAAAACTCCTCATTCTCGAGCAGTGTTGACAGTCATCCACGATCGCTTACTTGACGAATAAACTGTTTACGGTTGTCATTCAAGTGGTGGCCAATCTCTATAGTGGCTGTTCATGCTGTCACGAAGCTAAGGTTAATATCGACCCGAAAGCCACCACCAGAAGACCCCCACACAGCATGCTGGAAGTGCGGAGAATGACACTACACACTGTACTGTCCCCTCAAGAAACACGTATGTCATTAATGCAACGAACAAGCCCACCGCCGCACTGATCATCCCTTTGTGACAAATGGTCATCACGAGCAACGACTACTAAGACCACCGTCAACCAAGTCTGAACTCAAAATTCAAGCGATCGTGTTTGCTGTTTAACCGGAATTGGAGAAGAGGCGCAAATATCTCACCGAACGCATCAATGGTGAGCCAATGAGCTTGCAGATAGATACCGCTTCTAGCATGACCTTGATCTCAAAACGGACTTCACACGCGCTCGGGCAACCCCCATTGAATCTTACCAATAGAAACGCATCCGGCCGATTGCCAAGTCTCACAGGTGGGCCAGAGTGTAACGTTTTGCTGAATGATGTGCAAATTAGAGGGACGCGTTACATGACCAACAGACCCAATTTGAATTTGTTAGGTATCGACTAGCCTGGGAGGCTCCGTCTTTTGGATGTGCCTCGGAACAGTGTCTGTCAAGGTGGTCGATACACGCGAAACCTGCGTCCTAAACCGAACAGTTGTTTGCACACCTGATCATAACCGTCAAGGAGAAGTTTTCATCAGTCTTCCAAGATGGTTTGGGGTGCTGAAACAAAAACCAAGCACATTTGTGTCCCCATCGGGAGACAAAGCCGGCTTTTTTTTACCTAAACGCCCAGCGACACATGCATCATTGCCAGCAGTTGACCAAGAACTCGACGGAGTTCAGCTAGCAAGTGTGAGCAAAAGAGTTAACCACTCCTCTGGAGCGCACCCATTGTCGTGGGCAGAAAGCCAATGATACCATTTACCTTTGTGGCGACTTTTCAACGAGTCTGAATGAAGCCATGGATGCACAACAGTATCATCTACCACTGACCGACTAGTTCGCAATACTAAACGGCGTCACGTGTTTCGCTCAGCTTGAACTATCAGACGCTTAACTGCAAATAGAAGTCGACGAGGATTCACGAGAACTGTAGACGATCAACACTCACCGAGATCTGTTCCCGTATCAGCGGCTTCCATTCGATGTGGAAACCGTCCCCGCGATTCTCCAAAAGGTCACAGACACTATACTCACTGCCATTAACGGCGATGCAGTTATCTGAACGACATAATTGTAACTGGCACGACACCCACCAAACTCTCACGACGATTGGACAGTGTTGTGAAAAGGATTCAGGAATACAATTTAACTTTCCGAGTGAAGTGCAAATTCTTTACGTCTTCCGTGACATATTTTTGACCCGTCATCGACAGATATGGTCGTCACCCAGGACTGGTTTTCTAGCCAAAGGCTTCGGGTAGGGACCCCGAGGCTATCCCCCTTCCTCGGCCAGGGCAACCGGGAAGTAACATGTTCGCACAATCCATGAACACATTCTTCAAATTTCTTTTTGTTCATATGTTGTGGCACATTTGCCAGTTCTTTGTAATTGGTCACGTGTTGAATAAAAAAGCCTATGGGTGAGAAAATGCACGTTTATACTGATCGAAGAAACGAGGTCGGCTTTGGACTTACCAGAGACTCACGGCGAATAACCTAACCAGCTGAACAACTGTGCGGTGTTTAGGAGACCGTTGCCAACTGGGAGGCGACGATCGGTGACAATCGGTTCATAGGCCTTTACGTTGGATTATTCTAGGCTATTGAACCTGGTGCAGCAAAGAAATGAAATCTACATATTAACAAAGATCGCTCAGTTTGGGTTCAACCAGCATTGACCGACTTAAGACAAGCTACCTTCACCGTTACAGTACCGGTTTCAAATATTCATGGAAAACTCAGATGGCACTCCAAAAGTTCGCCACATTTGATGCTTTCCTGAAACTGCATTCACATGCAACTGTCTCCAGAATAAAGCATTAATTGGATTCCGTCCCTAGACTGTCCTAAGATAAAACCCCAAGATCGATGAGCAGATTCATAAGCCCAGTCAAGATTAAACGATGGCGATTTGAGTAAAAGGTAAAGTTTTAAGTAGTGTACTTAATGCCCAAAGAGAATAAGGAAATTGCAAACAGCAGCAATGCTAGGGACAGAACTAGCGGCTCCCGCGTTGGATCGACGCCCCACTGGCTTGTATGTCAGACTTAAAGGGTCAAAGATTCTGGTGCGGGTTCCTGAGGAAAAGCCTCGTCGTCGGTATGGGTTACCGCAAATTATACAGTGCCCCAAAGTCTTATGTAATCACTTGGAAAACCATATCTTGCATCCTTCCAGATCTTCCTCATTCCCAAATCTTAAGAGATTCCTCTTGTTTTCACTACCCATAGAATATCACTCAGCGTTCAAGTAGTAAGTGTTGTGGAAAGTGTTGTTTGGATTACCGCATCAATTGTGGTTTTATGATTGGTCCGTATCAGATTTTTGTTTTGCAAACCGGACAGAGTCAATCTAATTGGTTCAAGCTTATATATAAACGCCTGTGATTCCCCTCTCAAGTGTGATTTGTGTCCGATGCACTTAAAAAATATATCGAGAGCACTTTCTGATAAACCGACTTTTGACACGGTGGCAGCGGAAACTGACGCGAAATCTCCAATGTTGAAG